CTCGCCTCTCCCGCCGGGCACACACCTCCAGGAGCGCGCTGAGGTTTTAAACACGCACGTTGCAGTGTAAAGGCGGACCTCGCTGCCACGCCAGCGGGGTTCTGCCGCGGCTGCTGGCGGCGGGCGGGCCCGACGTTGGTTCACGGTTTCACAAATCTAGTTACTAAGAAAATATGTGAATTAATAAGAAATGGAATGACCTTTGGAGCGCTGTCATTTCTGTACCTGCCTTCCTGTGATGCCTGCTGTGCTGCCTTTCTAATAATAACTTATCACATACTTTGTGTCTGAGTTAATTTCTCTGAAATCACAAACATCTTGTAACTTCTTCATGGTTACGTCATCTTTGTTTTTTTTACTATTTCCTTATTCATCTCGATCTTACTGACAGACATGTCTTGCAAGTACTGCATGGAGATGAAATTATACAGCAAAGTGCTCGACATATGGGGTGTACATGTATCACGCTTCATGAAATTTGAGTAACTCAGACCCACTTCAAGCCACAAATATTCATAGGTTTTTTTTTTTTAAATTATGTCAGGGCATAGAAAGGGTTGACTGCTCCCCAAGGGACAGGGAGCTGGGGGGACTCCCCAGGCTGGCAGGGCAGGGCCCCACCAGCCAGGGCTGGTCCCACCACACCCAGCCAGTGAGCAGGGCAAGCCTGGGCAGAGGAAGAGGTGCTGGCAATCCAGAGTGCAGATCACTGACATGTTTGTGATGATCAGGAAGGTCTGAAGTCAATCCATGCGTCAGGGTCTGGATCGACAGGGCCCATAAGCAGCACAGGCGGGGCTGGGCGAGAAACCAGCACTCCTACTCCATCGCTGGGACAGAGATTGGCAACCCTGGACTGAGCTGAGGTGGTGTCCCTGGGCAGAGGCTATGGGTGGGGGTCCCGGGTGAGGCCCGTCAGGACCATGATGTCCTCCTGAGGCCCTGATAATATACAGAGTATAACCTACCGTAATTGTCCAAATACACAGGAAGAGTTGTTTGCCTTACCAGGAAACCCTTCTCAGTGTGGCGACAACTTAGGACAGAGGACAAGCCCACAGGGGAGGTGAGCGTACATCAGTATGTTTCCCACAGGGCTGGTCTTTCTCACCGGCTCCCACTCCTTCCTTTTCGCTGAATTCACCTCAACTCACGTGCAGATGAGGCGGTTGGTTTGCCGCAGGAAAAAATTGCCACTTTGGGTTTCTCCCTAGACAGCTGGGAAGAAGCGTAACTTGCCCTTCCCTCCTTGGCCGAGCTTCCAAGTGTGCTGAAAAACACCTTCCTTGCAGCTCTCGTTCTCAGTTCCTGCAGCCCCGCGTGCTTGCGACAGACCCCTGAAGTCCTACGGTCTGTTCTTGCAGGGGAACTTCATGCCAGTTGCCTAAATCCTCAACAGCCCATCAGCGAAGCCCTTCAAGTATAATACCATGGCTCAACAAGGACCTCAGCAACCTTCCTTACTTCTTTGGTATCATCTGTGTTCTTTCTAATTTTGTCTATGCAAACACAGGAATTAGTCATATTCCCGCAAAAAAAAAAAAAAAAAAAGCTGCTTTTTTCATAAGTTGTGTGAGTTGATGAAAATTTGAATTCTTTCCAGTTCATATTGAGGGCATAGAAAAACGGGCAGCGGGCACTGTCTGTTCGTCTACCAGTGAGGGTTTTTGTTTGCTTTTTTTTCTTTATCAAGGCATCATGTTCTTGGATATTTGTTTGCTATATATATCTGCTCTATAAAATAAATATATTTGCTATAAATCAATATATAAACTAAATATAATAATCTTTCAAAAAACTTGTTCTCATGAGGAATCATACAACAGTTCAAATGGTTTGAAATATTGAAAACATCTTTTAATTGTAGAATTCTATACAAACTTGGGTAGATACAGAAGTGGTCACGACAGAATGTGTTCTTATTGCCTGAAATTTTTCACAGAAATAGAAACATTGATGGCAAGCTTACTGACATCCAACATGATGAGATATCTTTAAACTTGCAAAATGAATAGACACAACAACACTCCTAAGTAGTTTGTATGTGTTTGACTGTCCTTGAAGTCCTACTACTTATATACCAACCTCAAAATACAAAGAACCAAGATTAAAATTTTTAATGCACATCACATAATAATGTAAAATTAAGCACAAAAAAGGTAAACAAAGTGTAATCCTGAAAATACACTATTTTTTTACGTAGGGCACTGATCTATTCCAAGAATGATTTCCTGTATAGTTGTGTTTTAAGTGAGGCACACATTTTGTTTTCTGCACAGGACATCAATATCTGATGGAGATACAAGAACGAATGGTAACGAACAAAAGGGAAAGAAACATAATCACAAGTGGAACTCAAACTCCATGCCAGTGTTCTCGCAGCCCTAAGCAAAGCTAAAATATGCTACAACCATTGTTCTCAAAAAGTCCTTGGCACTCTTCCTCTGATAATCTTACTTTCAGTTTTTTAAAAAAATGGAGCAAATTACATTTCTGCACCTATATCATAAGGCAAAACTATAAATGCAACTACAAGGACAAGTTACCAAAAAAACCCCAAGCCAAAGATAACCCCCCACCCTCAGACCACCGCCCCCAAACTCCAAACGCTTGGTGAGATAGTTTCATCCTTCCTCCTCATCACTGTCTTTCATAGTAATGCCCTGAAGTCCCCCCGCATCCGTGACTGAGACTGTGGCTTCCTCTACGGTCAGGCGGCTGTGAACGGTATCGTAGGTTTTACTGTTCAGCGTTCCCTCCAGTACGCCTTGCAACCTGAAGTCTCGGTAGGTTTTCTGTGGCAAAAATAAAACATCCTGAATTGGACTCGAGCAAGTC